TGGCAGAAGGGAGCTTTTACAATCTCTACGTCCTAATCATCAAACATTTTGAACTGATCCAGGTGGGTCTTTGTTTTGCTGTTTAATCTGTCACACTCGAAACAATCTGTACTTCAGCACATCTGGACCCAGGGCATGGCAAACTTTGCTGTCCAGCTCCCAGGATTTGGGCGAGTGCTGCATGGTGGAAGTCCCTAAACCCACGGTGGTGAGACCATCTGAGTCACCCCATGCTCATGCACAGCAGCCCAGAGATGACCACTGCCCAGGTGACACCATCCGAAAGCTCCGGGACTGCAGTTTCCTCCCTGGCAGGGCACCCAATTAAATTATCTTGAAGTATCACTCATTAAGACAAGTGCTCTGCCAGTTCAGAGTGATTTGTGGCTGTCAGAGGCCTTCCAAAGAAATGAGCCCTGAGCTGTGAGGCAAAGACACGCACATTTTTCAGCTGTTACTCACTTTAATACGGCTTTGAAATCGCAGTGAGTCAAACAGGCAGCAGTGTCATTGCCACAGTTACAGAAAAGGGAAAACAAACCTAAATCAAATATACTTTTTTTTTTTCCTTCTACATAACAGCAACATTGAGCAAGACTTGAAAGCCACTATGTGTATTTCTTTTTTAGGCAAAAACCGAATTTTGCCTCGTTCCCATCTCCCACCTGCTTGTCCTGGAACTAAAACAATATCCAGAAATCCCAGCCTGCTTTTGCTCAGTCTTCAGGGAGCTACACTGAGTTCCCTGAATCAGTTAATCCCAAAATCAGATGTGCATGAGTGCAAATTTTCACTGGCTTTTCTTCTAAAGGCTCACCTCGGAAAACTTCAGACTTCTAAAACCTGCTCTCTGCTACAGAAATATATAGTGTGACCCCGATTTTGTGTAAATCAAACACAAAATCTCTTCCTGATTTTGTGTAAATTAAAGAAAACCTGAAGTTGACAACATCAGTGCATTAATAAGAACAATATTTAAGCTCTGGGGGTTCCTAACGTAAGTCTTTGGGTCCAAGTCCATCCCCAAAAACCTGAAGCTCACTGGCAGAGCAGGATTACTAAGTGTGGTCCCAGGTGAGCTTAAGCTGCCCTATCTTAGGCGTACATAAGAAGGGCCAGGGGCAGGTCCTGGGTTTGCCAGCAGTAGGCCTGTGCCTGCCTTTTTCTTTTTTTTTGACTTCTGTGTTTTTATGCTGTTTTACTGACTGCTTTTTTTGTGTATGGCCCACGCTGACTATCATTTAAAGCCTGGGGAAAAAAAAGGCATAATGGAACAGTACTGAAGGTGTGGAGCATCAAAGAAGAAAGGCTGAGCTGTGAGGCTGCACCACAGGCTTTTAATCTGAAGGTATGTTTTCCTGGGCAACAAACAACAGGAGCTTCTGGGTTTCAGACAAGCAGTCCCTTCCCCAGGGAGGGTAGAGGATGCATTTCTTAAATTACAGTGACTACAACACGTTTTGTTTAAGCTCTTTCATACCTCAATGCATAAATGAATTGCCTGTCTCTAACGAGGAAGCAAATGGAAAAGAGCTGTGGCAGCATCTCCCTGCAGCCCTGTGCTCATGGATGTCTGGAACAACCCCAAACCCTCCCTCCAGCAGAGTGACATTCTTTGTGATCCTTTTTTTTTTTTTTTTCCCCCCCCAGCCTCTGTATATGGATGAGTCAAAGTGCTGAAGCATTTTGAAAACTATGCAGCAGACAGCCCTGAATCACTCCTCCTTCCTCTGCACCGGCCAGCCCCCTTCCACAGGGTGATCCCTGCCAGGAATCAGCGATCCTGCCGGCTGACGGGGCGGGAGCGTGCGTGTGTGTACACACGGGCACGTGTTGTTTAACGCAGGGAAGTCGGACCGGGAGCCGGAAAACACTTTTATCTGTTGATCTATGATCTGAATATCTGTTTACGTGTTTTGTAAGCAGGCCCGAAGGGCTGCAAAGGGAGGAGAGAACGGCTCTTGTCTGCACTAAGCGTGCTCTGCTTTCGGGAGTGTGTGACAAGAGTCTCCCCATTCTGGCCTCCCTAAGGAGATGAGAAGCACAGCCAATACCCACTAATACAAAAACTGGCTTAAGTACTCTGGGGGGGGGAAGGAAAACCAGGAAAATAAGGTGGTTTTTTTAAGGGTATGTTAGGGGGATTTTAAAAAACACTGGTAATAGTGGGGTATGTATAGATGTGTTAGCTTACGGTAAACTACTTTGTATATCCATATATATGGTATTTACTGTGCATATACCAGGAGGAAAATATTGGGGAGTGGGGAATTTTGACAGCCTTTTGCTTGGATCTGAGCTTTCTTTACGGTTCTTCCCTGCAGGAATGTGTCCAGCCACCTCTGTGTCCACTGTCTCTACCAAGAGTCCAACGAGCACCCAGAGTGTACCATCCCAGGTAACTCTCTCTTTCCAGTTTCTTATTCCAAGTAACCTATTTGGGAACAAAGATTAGCGGGGAAACAAATAAAAATGTCCCTTCGTGGGTTTTAAACTAAAAAAAAACCCCAAAACCAATTTTTGAGGAGATTTCAAACGATCTTAGAGGAAAGTATAATCAAAGTACATAAATAAAGACTCCTTGGCCATGAGTAAGTATCCTACAAACAGGAAGAGAGTTAAACATCTTTGCAACCCTCAGGTTCAGCCTTTCAATTCCTTAACTTGAAACTTTTGAGGATCTCTGCACTGGTGCTGATAGGATGGAGAGCTGTTCCTCTCAGGTGTAACTGGCCAGGATGTTTGTGCTGGGAAGGAGAAGGGAACAGACTCAATCTTCTCTGGCACAGAGCACAGGGAAATAAAAGTTGCTGGTGGGAACAGGGACAGGTAAGAGGTAACCATGAACGTGGAGCTGGCAGTAAATTCAGCAGTGGTGGGATCTCAGGGGCCTTCCTGTTATCACTCCAACAAAGACCATAAAAGGCCAGAGAAACAGAGCAGTCATAGAAGCAAACTCTGGAGAAAACCAGCAAAAGCCAAGGGGAGGAGCGGGAAGGGAGGGAAGGAGCTGTATTTGATTAATTCTAGAGCCAACTGGCACACACTTGATGGAAATGTTAATTGTCCTACTAACATATACCCACTAGTTATACCCCCCTTCCCTCATCTCCTCTAAATGAAGCACAGACTCTTTTCTTAAATCACAGGTAACATAAGAATATCCAGGTTTCCACCCTTCCTCTTCCTCCGTGTCACACCCCCACTTACAAGAACAGCTGAACTATTTACTGCATGGCAATACTACATGGCATTACGTAGGGAATTTTTATTTCTCTACTTAGTTAACATTCAGTTTTCACTCCAAAAGAACAGTTTCTGCTCTGCTGGAAGTAGCCAGTTACCTCTCATTGTGTGCATGACAGCTCCTGAATATCTGCACCAAGTCACAGAGTGATACCCTGCCTTTGTCTGCAGGTCCCTTTTATACTTTTATGCTTTCAGAGGAGCTCTTGGGGCTGGTTTACATGCAAACACAGGGCAGGTCACTCCCAAAAAGTAAGGCTCTGCTTAACAGAAATGCTGACAAGGGGCTATTATAGAGCAAGAAGAGTTTCAACAGCCAGCCTGTAAATAAATCTAATCAGAAGCCCCCAAAGGGCTGGTTTAAATAGTATATTTATTTATTTACGCAAGTATCTCGCAGTGTTCCAGAGAAATGACCCATTTGCAATGCTGCTCCAGCCCCTGGAGAGTGCTGGGCTTCTAACGAGATCCAGGACAGAGTGGCTTAAAGGATTAGGAACTGAAGTCACTGGGAGTGTGGGGAGGGAAGCAGCCAGCGCCGGATCAAGACAAAACACTGTCCTGGGCTGTGAGCACGGGGCAGAGCTTAAAGCAGGTTTCCCTAGGGCTGGTTTGACAGCCACAGGACTGGGGAGATAGAAAAATCCCAGCAGCCAGAGCAGAGTAAGCTCCAAGTGTTGGGGTGTGTGAAAGTCCCTCGGAGCCGTGAGGGAAAGAGCTGCTTTATTGACGAGCCTGATCCGACAGCCATTCAGTCGCCGCTCAGGAATGACAAAGACCCTGCTCAGGTTGCTGCCAGCCAACACCTTGTCTCATTCAACTCCTCGGGATCAATAACTGGAGAAGAGTCAGCTATCGACCTATTTTTTGAGGGAAAACTCCACCGGAATCATGAATCAGTAAACGGGGAGCGGCCTTCTCAATGAACCTTTCTTTAAAATACAGCTGGAATCATCAATAACCTTTCACCCCTCAAAGAAAAGTTTGTGCTAAGAGAAAAGAAATGAGATTATTTCCACGGCCACGATGTTATCTTCCCCTTTCAGTGGGAGGCTGCCAGCACTTTCACAAAATAAGCAAAGCCCAGCAACACTTCAGCTACTCTCCCTCCACGATTGAGAGATAAGGCCCGGCTTATCACCCACAATCTGTTCTTCCCAGCAATAATTAACAGCCTGCCACCATAAAAACTCACTGCAGACAGCTTTAAAGTTACAAGGCCTGCCCTGTTCAGCTACAGGTAGGTTCGGATGAGTCAAGATTTTAAAAGAAAGGAGGACAAAGAAAAAAAAAAACCCAAAGGAAAAAGTACACACCAATAGTGGAAACTGTTTCGCAATCGTTGGCACAATAAATGAGCCCAGTCTGAACAGGCCACAGGATGCTGCCCCAGTGCTCAAAGTAGCTGGGCTTGTATGCTCAGGATAAGAGGGAAGGGATCTGTTTAAAACAAAGCAGTTCATAGGCGTAAACCCTGTTCTGCATAGGGTATATTTAAATGTACTTTGCTTTTTAAATCCAGGAAGTAAAAAAAAGCTTGTCTGATAGCCTGAGCAAAGCATATTATTTGGATATCGAAAGACAGTTCAGCTGCTTCTGTATCTGATGATCCCAATCTTTCCCATGGGCATTTACACCATACTTAAACTTCCAAATAGAATCACAGACTGGCCTTGGACACTTCCAGGGATGGGGCAGACACAGCTTCTCTGGGCAACCTGTGCCAGAAGAGATGTTGAACTTGTGTGGGTTCCTCTGTTCGGTCACCCAAAGGGATTTCACCTAAAGCCAGGGAATAACTTTTTGGCAAGTTTTGCTGAAGTTTTTCAGGTTGGTTTTCTGATATTTCTCAATATACTGGCATGTGAGAAGTTAATTTACAGAGTTCTCTGAAAGGAAGTTAAAGAAGAGAAATACAGTCCAACCCATCCTGCTTTAGAGAAATGGAGTGTAGAGCAAGAGCACAGACCCAGTGGTACGTGCAAGAGGCAGGTATGGATTCAGGAATGCTGAAGCCTTGTTGACAGCTTCAGGTTTTAAACCACATAATTTTCCAAGTAGAAAATGCTTGTGAGTTATACTCATCTCCCCCACGTACACGTCCAGGGCTGTTTTGTCCAGACCTGCCACGAAATAAATGGCCAGTGATTTAAAACTGAACTATTCCACCTTTACCTGCCCAGGCAGTACCTGGCAGCAAGCAGAAAAACACCTCGCAGTTCAGCACAGGACTAGTCTCAAACCTCCTGGTCTCAAAGTACATAATAGATGTGCTTCTCTCACCCACTCAAAATATTCCTAATTTGTCTGGTGAACTCCACTACCTCACAGCCTGTTGCTCGAGACTAAGGAGGAGAAGGAAGAGGCTCATTGCACAGGTACAAACATGTGCCTGGAGACGGAACTGCTCCCAGTGGTAAAATGCAATTTGGCTGGAGGAAGAACTGCAAGCCAAGGGCCAGCTGACAATGGGAACCCGGCTCTTCCTGGCACCTGGGACTGTTCTGGTATGTGAGAAGTCATCTGGCCCCGCTCGCTCTCCTTTTGCTTTCTTAACTTTCCAAAACAAAAAGGGATTCAGAGGAAAGGCGTTCACAAGTGGAAATTTCGGCGGGGCGGGGAATTCATCCTGTGCTGGCTCCTTCCAGGGCCAGCTGGAAATCAGCGGGGCAGAAGAAAGAGAAATTGAGTTTTAAGCTGTAGAGGAAGCAGGAGCGAGTTTGCTGGAACTCCTCTCAGTACTGCCCCGATGGGCCTTTTCCTGCCCGGTGCTGCGAGTTCCATGAGGCCAAGAAAATGTGGAAAGGAGTGTTTTCTTTTACCTGCAGAGGGCAGGGGCTGAGCAGTGCATTCCAATACGTGCTCCAACAAGGAGAGAGCGAAGCAGCTCTTTGGAAAGGCCAAGAGAGGCTGGCAGTTCCACAGGGCTGGCAGTGGTTCCTGTCTGTGCTGATCCCCATGGATGACTGGGTGACACCTTCACATTTCCTTCTGAGAGTTTAAATTCTGCTCCAGCTCCCAGCCTGGAGCAGGGAGAAGAGCAAAGGATATTCCCCATGTGGAAAAAAGAAGAGCTAAACACCTGCAGAAGCAAGTCTTCAGCACTCTCTCTAGACTGCTCCTCAAGCCAAGCCAGAGCCTTTTGAGAGGGCCTTTAGATTGATATCTTAGGAAGGGGGAAAAAAAAAAAAAAGCAAAACTAATTTGTGATTAGAAGGCACAAAGATGTTCACTCAGATGGAAGTATTCCTGAAAAGCGAGGGGGAAACTACCCGAGCAATTCATTCAGCTGCCCTAGAGGGTAAACACTGAACTTGAGCACCATCCACAAATCCCGATTATTATTAACAGCTTGACCAAAAGCTTATGGTTTTTGTAGTTCTCTTTGTACTTGTGAAATCTGATGGACTGAAAAAAAAAATACGTTTGACACCAAAGCAAAGAGGGGGGGTCCCTCTGCAGCCACACGAGGCTGAACATTCCTCCCTCTCCTGCACTTTGTGGAGCTGCCTCAGCCCAAGAATATTTTTTTGCTTTTACAAAAAGCATTTCAGATGTTTAATTGGGTCTTTACTTCCAGGCAGTTGGAAGCAGCAGTCTGGGGAGCTGCTGACTTGCAGCAGCAATCGTGGCTGAAGGATCCTTAATCGGGAGCTTTGGTTCGCATTCCCATTTCCAACACAGCCTCCAGAGACCACGGGGGTATGCATAACTTGGGGAAGAGGAAAGGCTCCACAGGTAAATCATAAATGCCATTAACCACTTACATCAGGAAATGCCAAAGCAGGGGTGGACACACACACAGCCTTATCTGCTCCTTGTTCACAGGTGCAGGTTACAAGCTGAAGTTGAACTACCTGTGTGCAAGACACCCTGACAGCTCAGTGGGGCTCTGTCCTGTTCCCTGCTGTAGCTTCCAAAACCCCTCTGTTCACTCACTGCACCTGAGTTGTGGCTAAAACTGCTTAGAGCTGATTTTTCTTCGCCTTGGAGCATTTTTCTGAGCAATGGTCTAACGCCTCCCCTTGAAAGGGATAAAATGTGTTTCTTGTAGAACACCATACAGTGTATTTCTGCCTATCTTTAATCCCATTTCACTGAACACCTGTCAAACTGCTTTCTGGTGGTGCCTGAACACTCCTAAAGTTGCTTTTTGGGTGATGCCCAAGAAACTGCAAAGCTTTTTCTTCTAAGCAGGGCTCCAGAGAGATTTTTCTTCCACTGCTCTCTGTTATTCAGAGTAAGTTCAGCTTGGGTTGAGGGGTTTTTTTGGGGTGGGGTGGATGTTTTTTCTTGTTCTCAACTCTCCTCATACAAGCCTTTTATGACACAGAAGGAGAGCAGCAGAATTCCAGAACTATTGTCACCACCTAAAGATCTCGATAAAGAAACATCCTAAAACAGTCTCTTTTTTCCTTTTTTTTTTTTATCCTTACAGGTGAGATGGAGAGGCTGCACAGCCAAATCACTGAAACCCAAAGAATTAATCAGGTGAAGTTACACTGTGAGCAGCACCCAGGCCTTGATTACAGCCTGTCATCAAGGGAACCACAGAACTTGGGCAAAAAAAAAAAAACATTACAAGAGGCTTAGCATTTAATGCTCTAAAGTAGTAAATCCACAGCAAATCCTCCTGAATCTAAATATGCCTAAGACATATTTTATCTTATTTTTTAAAGTTTTCTCGAATGCCATCTTACACTCCCAAACTAAGCTCCACTGTTGCTTTTGCTTTCTCAGTAGTATGCAAATTGGGTTACATCCCATGCCTCGAGTGCCCTTTTGGCATCCCAAAAGCTCCTTCCAATAAACAGTAAGCAAGCCATTTATTTGGATTTCTCTCCCTTTTTAAACTCAAGTAACCTGCAAGTGTCTTCTGATAATTTTTTAGAATTTTTGGGGGGCAGTTCAAAAAAGTTTGCTCAGAAATTATGCATGTTACAGACACATAATTTTACCCCTTAAAACCAGAATGACCTCCTGCAGGTTTTAGTAACAAAAAAAAAAAAAAAAAAAAAGAAATACACCTCCCCACTTGTGCACATTGAGTCTGAACAAAAAAGTCAACAGCTGCTGTGATCTACCTAAATGTAAGTTTTAATTCTTGATGGTTTAGATTTAAATTAAGCAGAGACTTACCCAGTGTGGAAATTAATTAATTTTTCTCCACTGGTGCCTTTTCATTTTCCTACCAGAGTCCATATGCACCTTGGGATCACCTTCTGGCTTATTTCTCCTAAGACTGGTGTGAAAGCTAAACTTGGTCAAAAGCCTGCCTGGGTTTTTGGCAAAACCAAGGGTGTTAATGGAAAACAACCCCAGTCCACATGGGAAGAAAATAATCCCAGTTTTAACATGAAATGGAAGTTTTACCAACGCCTCTGGACCAAAAGAAAACAAGGAGCTGTAACATCACTTACTTCCACAAGAGAATTCCCACTGTAAACTGATGGAGCTCCTACAGATTCCGGATAGGAAGAGGAGAGCCACACACAGCAAATACACCCGGAGCAGCCGTCCCTTCCCTTCCGAGCCAGGCAAACAAACACCTGACCACGCTACATCCCTGGAAACACGGTGCTCTACTGGCAGACAGGGAAAAACAGCCTTTAAAAAACAAAAACAAGCTCTATCAGTAAAAGTGCACTTCTGCAGATAAACTGCTCCTGCAGCTGGGACTTCTGCTGGCACAGCTCTGTCGGTCACGGGTCACACTCCGGCACCGCGCGCGCAGACAGAGCTGTGCCAGCAGAAGTTTGCCGTGCAAACCTGGGGGGAAACTCGGGAGCCACTAACATGGATCTGCAAAGGCCTGTGTTTTTCCAACAGTCTGATGAGGAGGAGCCCGTCTTACCCCTGGCACGTGGATCTCTTGCTTCCAAGCACAGAAGAAAACTGGACTTCACACAGGAACACGGTAATACCTGTGAGCCATTTACACTGCACTTTATCCTTCAATTAAATACACAAACTGAGCGAGGAAGAGCCCCCGTAGGAAGGGAAGATAAAAGGGAATAAATTAAACTGTGCTGTGCTTCAGCCCTTGGAGCAGCCCGCCCTCACTTTTAACAGTAAGAAGGGAGCAAAACTGAAAGTGTTTAACGGGATTTGTTTAGCAGGCAGCAGAGCACCCGCAGAATTTCCACCGCTCCGTGAAACCCAACAGCTGAACTGTAACAGGACTTTTGGCATCTTCAAAAATCCCCGGAGGAGATTTAACGCCCGAGTTGGTGCTCAAGCAGAAGTTCTGTTTGGGTGAGTCCACACGATACTGCGGATCATTATTCCAGAGCACAGAGCAGCGAGATGTCAGAAGTGCGCGCTGCCCATCTGCTCCGGAGAGAAATTATAAAATCAAGCTGGAAGTAACCTCCCACCACCCTCTGGGAGGGGAAGGAAAGCCACGGAGAAGGGCTACGTCCAGGAAGTTGGGTCAGGCTGCGGCGCAAAGCAAACCTCAACCGTCCAGCATGTGGGAGAGGGACGTGTGGCAGCACAAATTTCCCCATTTTCCATAGGGAGAACACAGAAGTAAAGCCACTGGCAGTCCCGCGTTTGTAGAGGCCGTGCTCCGCCTTCCTCAGAGCTTTCTGGCCCTCCAAAGCGGGACACAGCTTCTAGGAATTCCTTGGGTTGTGTCACGCTGTCGTTAGAAATAATGTACTATTTTTTTTCTTTTTAAAAATAAACACACGAGCATCACTTTCATCATCAGTCATGTCTGCGCACCCTGAGTGACTTCAGGGTGGGGTGTTCTTCCCTCCACGTTAGTTTTGGGTGGTGGGGGAGTGTCACAGAGAGGGGAGGGCATGGGTATGAATTTAACTGTAGGAAATTCCCTGCTTAACCAAGGCCACCTAGAATCTTTATCAGCAGGCCGGCTCCTGAGAAGCTGCACCTCCCCAAAACAAATACTCAGCCTATTCAAAGTTTCCAAAATGGCCCGATTAAAGCCACTGGTCTAAAGATTTCCAGAAGGTCAGACAAAAGCTGGTGGAGCAACTGAGCCCTTGGCCATGTTTACCACAGGCACTTCAGTTTAAAACCCAAATCCCAAACTGAGACAAAAACTCGGTGTTCAGCTGTGTTCTACTATTGGCAAGCACTGTGGCCTGGGCTGGCAGCACAGGTTTTACTGCAGGTGATGTTGCTGTCATCCTCCTACGGGACTGCTGTGGACCACTGGGAAACCACTAGGAAAAGGTGGTGAGACCAGTGACCCTCACAACAAAGCACACTCTCACTCCACAAACATCCTTTGCTGAAAAACACCCTCACCGACCTGCTGGAGGGTCACCCACGGTGCCAGGTGAAGGTCCCATTATGGGACGTGGGCTGGCACGGAGGAAGCTGTGGCCAAGTGCTTGTCCCACAGCTGAGCTTCACCCCATGCTTGGGTTCACCCCATGGCTGGGATTTGCCCCGTGGCCAGGATTTGTCCCATGGCTAGGATTTGTCCCATGGCTGAGGTTCACCCCATTACTGGGGTTCACCCTGTGGCCGGGATCTGCCTCATGGCCGGGATTTGTCCCATGACCGAGGTTCACCCCATGGCCAGGATTCACACCACGGCTGGGATTCACCCCACGACTGGAATTTACCCCATGGCCGGGATTTGCCCCACGACTGGGATTCACCCCATGGCTGGGATTCGTCCCACGACTGGGATTTATCCCATAGCCAGGATTCGCTCTAGGGCCAGGGTGTGCCCCATGACCGGGATTTACCCCACGTCCGGGATTCACCCCTCGGCCACGGTTCACCCCACGGCCAGGATCTGCCCCATGATCCGTCCCACGGCCGGGACCGGTCCGCTGGCTGAGCTTCACCCCCC